CCGCCAGCTCACCCCTGCTCAGGCCCCCTCTGCAGTCACTGGGGCCCAAACTCAGCTCCCAGGGAGGCCAGCAGGGGGAAGAGACCTTGGAGGGGCGGCCTCGGCCACTGCCCCTGGTCTCTGAGGGAAGAGGGGGTAGTGGGGGTGGGGGTGGAGAAGGTGCTGCTGGACTTTGGATCTGGTGGACCCAGGGACACCTCTGCTCCGCTGAATGGTCCCAGGCAGCTAGAAGGGCAACCTTCTCAGATGGTGGGCAGCGGTGGTGGGCATGGCCCCACTTCTTCTGGCTCGGACCACGAATCGTGGGCCACAGTATCCGGCAGCCTTTGTCCCACCTGGCACTGCCGCGTGGATGCTGGGCAGCGGTGGTGGGCACCCTGCAGAGGCCATGTGCTCAGTGCCCAGCAGAAGACCAGAATGTACACTCACCGTGGATGGTGAGGGTGCTGGTGGAGCTCTTGGTGGGTGTGCCTGCGTCACTGGCCACCACCCTGAGCTGGTAGCTGGCGATGCGCTCACGGTCCAGCTCAGTGGTGGTGAGCACCACGCCGCTGCTGCTGTTGATGAGGAAGTCCATGCGGGGCATGCCCACCTGCATGCGGTAGGACACCAGCCCATTGAGGCCCTCGTCCAGGTCGATGGCCACCACCTGAGGGGAGGAGGCAGAGGCAGAGTGAGAGCCAGGGGGGGCTTCAGGATGCCTACTTGGGGCCTCAGGCTGAGTCACTGCCCAGAGTGGCTCCCATATGCTCCCGGGAGGCAGGCCAGCTGAGCTGCGGGGCCTCCACTGATGGCACAGGTACACTGAGGGGGCTAGAGATGGGTGCCCCAGGGAGGGACTATTATGCACAAGAGCCTGATCTGCGTGTGCCTTTCCCCCTTCCAAACCCTGCTCTCCCTTCCAGGAAGCCCTCCCGCATGTACTCCATCCGGTTCTGGTCCTCCTGAACGTCCAGTGCCCCAGTAGCCTTTCCTCACCCCCCAGCCCTTGCCATGATGCTGGCTTGGAGCAATGGCTACAGCTTCCAGAGCCCCCTCTGATGAGCACCCATCTGCACAGAACACTCAATGTTCGGCCACCAACAGTCAAACTAAGACGGTACCAAGGATTATTATTATTTTAAAAATAATAATAAATATCTGGGAGAGGCCAATGAAAGTGAAATTGAGATCCCACCTTACACTTGACAATGAGCCAGTACCAGCACCACCACAACCAGGGGCAGTCAGAAAATAGCCAGTGCGGCACGGTGTCACCTTCACACGCTGCTGGGGAGACCCGTGCAGTCACTGTGGAGCGCGACAGGTGCCCTCAGACAAAGGACTGGAATTCCACACAAATTGTGCACCCGAAAGACGTGAGAGTCCCAGCACGGACAGGTGTACTCACACCTGTGTCCACCCCGTGTCCCCACTAGCAAGAAGAGAGAAGCGACCTAGATGGCCACCAGTGAAAGGCGGGATCCCTGTGCACGCACGGTGGGGCACCCTTCCTCTGGGTCCCTAAGAGACCGTGAGCAAGCCACAGAGCACCTCAGGGACCAGAGGGCATGGTGCCGAGTGAATCAGCCAGTCACTGAAGGACACATGTCTTCTGGGACAAGGGGGAGGGAAAAAAGCAAGATCAAGACTTTCCTAGAAGGGAAGAGGCTTTGGGGATTGTCCACGCGAGGAGAGCCAGGGAGGGCAGACAAGCAGTGGGTGGGCCTGGTGACGGGTGCTTACTACCTTGGGTGGCATGGAAGACAGGCCACAATGAAGGAGTCAGTCGGTGAACTACTGAAGGGTTTGATTAATCGTTTGATCTGAAATATGATCCTCCACTTAATTAACAATTAAAAATGTTACCTGAAGATTTCATTATTATGATTATGATTATGATTTTAAAAGCCATTTCGGGCCCTGCGTGGTGAGCCTCACTGTTCCCATTTTCACTTCCGGCCCTGATCAGAAATATCCCCACTCTGGATCCTGGTCCCCTGACAGTTGTGAGGAAGAGGCTTTAAGACATCGGAAGGAAAGGTGAAACATGAAACCGAAGACGAGAATGCTGGGTTACAAGGACTCTCAGAATTGGAAGACGGCATCAAGGCCCGGGGGTCGAGTTCACCACATGCTGTCGGGAGGGTGCCCGGCTCGGCGTGCATGCGCTCCAGGATGGGGACTCGTGCCTCCCTTCATTGGCACACCATCACTGGTCTGTCAGTTTGTCACAGTGGGGTGGCTGCGATGATGGACACTATGCCACTGGCATTGCAAAGGCCAGCAGGGCCACTCAACGTGAGCAGGTTGCAGCGGAGCTCCTAGGCCAAGAGCAGACTACTAGGACGGACTGGCTGCCCACTTTGGGAGCAGCAGCTGCTGCTAACCACAGGCATGGCTTCAAAATCTTGTCAGGCACCGACGGGCTAATGAACGGAAGCAGACCATTGTCGGAGATCGTGCTGGAGAATGGACCCCTCAGGTCAGAAGACACTCCGAGTGGGACTCAGCAGGAGCTGCGTTCTCAACGAAGAATTGACCTTGGTGGAGGTGAATGAACGAAAGCCAACAGGAGTGAAACCTTCAGGGCCTTGGTTGCCGATGGGGCACCACGCAAGGGGAGAAGAAAAAAAGCTGCATTCAACGAGTAATCAGAACATGCAAGGATGAATCTAGGAAAATTGGAAGTCATCAAAAATGAAATGCAAGGCAACAAGATGGATATACTTTTGAATATGGACTGGTATTGGCCATTTTGAATCAGAAAATCAAATGCGTTACTAAGCTGGGAACGACACAGTCAAGGTGAGTGGTGTTGCATTTGTCGGAAAAGAGACCATATCAGTATCTATTTCCAATGCAGTCAATGATGGGATTATATCTACCCTTCAAGGAAATTGAATCAATGTAGCTCAATAGTTATATTGAGTTATAGCCTAACCAAAAAAGCTAGTGATGAAGAAATTGAAGAATTCTACCAATGTCTAAAATTGATCAAACATGGAATCAAGATGCATTGGTGATTAGTGGTGATTGAAATGAAAAAATTGGAAACAAAGAGGAAAGAACAGTAGTTGGAAAATATGGTCTTGGTGATAGAAATGAAGCGGGAGATCCCATGACAGAATTTTGCAAGACCAGCAAGTTGTTCATAGCAAATACCTTTTCAAAAATACCACTGGCAAGTATACACGGTGACTTATCCCCAGGGAACACACAGAAATTGCCTCTATGTGGGAAGAGATGATGGAGATGCTTAATATTGGCAGCTAAAACCAGGCCGAGGGATAACTGTGTAACCGACCATCAATCGCTCATTTGTAAGTTCAGGTTGAAGCTGAAGAAAATTAAAACAAGTTCACGAGAGCCAAAATATGACCTTGAATCTATCCCACTGAATTCTGAGAACATTCCAAGAACGGACTTGCTGCATTCAACACTAATGAGAGGTGGGAGGACATCA